CGCCGTCCCCCCCCCCCCCCCCCCCCTCCCGAACACACTATGCAACGGTAAACGTACCGACCCGCTCAGGTGCTGATATGGGAGTACAACATCCCCGTGCCCATCAAGTACATCGCGGAGCCGGACATGCATTCCATGCCGGCGACGACGCTCCACCCGACGGGGGGCTTCTTCGTGGGGCAGTCTCTCGACAACAAGATCGTCACGTGGACCGCCCGCGACAAGTTCCGGCAGATGAAGAAGAAGGAGTTCAAGGGGCACGTGAACGCCGGCTACGCCTGCCGCATGGCGTTCAGCCCGAACGGGAAGTTCCTGGCGTCGGGAGACGGGCAGGGGAAGATGTACATCTGGGACTGGGGGAGCACCAAGGTCTACCGCAAGCTGCAGGTGGGGCGACGCGCGTGTGTTTGTGTTTCGTGTGTGTGCGTGTTTATATTTGGCATCGGCCGCGCTAGCCGGCTGAATAGTGAAAAGACGCCAGTCTCAGTGCGGTTGAAAACACAAAACGCTCCTAGAGGCCGTGATCTGAGACCCCGTGAGGGGGCGTCATGGGGGAGGCTGTGTGTTTACTTTTTGCATCAACCGTGCTAACCGGCTGATCAGTGAAGAAGACGCCCGTTTCAGCGCGGCTGAAGCGGACGGCGCTCCTAAAGGCCATGATCTGGGGGCCCGTATGTGTGTTTGTGTGTGTGTTTCTTCGATGCCGCGCTATCCGGCTGACCATTGAAGATGCGTTAGTCTTTCTTGTGTACGTCAACAACGCGAAGGAACACGCTTGCTAGTCTGCGGGCTCCCCCGACAGGAGCGCCGCGGAGGAGGTTGGACGAAACCGTCTAGTATAAGCCTCCAGATTCGACGGACTTTGTGTTTGTGCTTGTACGCGGGCGTTCGTAGCGGTCCTGCGCTATACAGTGAAGTACCTCGTGCACATTTTGCCGCTGTTTGTCAGGGAAATTCCAAACGCGTCATAGAAGTAACGTCCCCTGAGACCGGATAATATTTTCCAAGACCTAAACAGTCCAGTAACGCCGACCGGGTATGACATCTCGGTCGAGGATACCTGTTTTCTTGCAGGCAGCATTTTCAGCGTCGCAGCCCTTGGCTCAAGATGACCACAGTGTGTGTCCTACTAGGTCGATCGAAGTTCGTATGTGTGGTGCTCCACTTTTTTGGGCGGGAGGGGTTCCACGGCATCATTGACCGAGCACAACGATGTGGTCACGATGGAGTGACGTCGGCAGCCGCCGGTCGCGCCTCTGCCCGCCGCTGCCAATGCGTTTGCGTGGTGTGTTTATCGCCGCATGTTCAAGAGAAGTGCTACTCCTCCTCACGCCCCCAAACACCCCTCTCTATGCGTACCGCTCTCCTCGCACCGTCCCCCCCCCCCCTCCACCCCCTTTCCTATGCAGTGCCACGACGACGGTCCTTGCATAGACGTTGCGTGGCACCCGCTGGAGCCGAGCTGGGTGGCCACGGCGGGGTGGGACGGAGTCATCAAGCTTTGGGATTAGAGTTGCTGGCGACCGGGTTGCTGGTGGTAGGCCGCGGCGGGATGGAACCGAGTCATCAGGCTCTGGGATTTGAGTTGCTGGCGACCGGGCTGCTGGTGGAAGCGCCGCTGCTGACTCGATCGCTGCAACTGCTAGAGGTCTTGGGCGGCTTGCTTGAACAGGCTATCCGGGGAGAAGGGGTGGGGGTGGGGGGGGTTCGCCATCATTTCCTCTCCCTGGCGTGAGCTTACTTACTTGGGATATAGCTGTTGCAAGCCAGGCGGGGCGGTTTTGGTTATTGGGGCGACGGACTAGAGGCCTGCGTGTTTTTTTTAGTGTTGTTTGTCTCGTCTGAAACCCTTGTAACCAAAAACTCTAGAGGAAGGCACCAAGAGATACGACGTGGTCTCGTCTCTCCGAACTTGTGTATCCAACAAAGTGAGTGAGTAGCCTGTATGTCTATCGTGCCCGAGGGAGTTGTTCGGAAGTACCGGGTCGCGTGAGTTGCCGCGGGAGCTTAAACACCGCCGTTGCTGTTTGTTTTGCTGGAGGAGACAGTAGGAGCTTTGTTGGAGCATGCGTGCGCTGCTGTGTATCTGCATGGACTCAAGAGGAGGGTGAACGAAGCGAACTCCTTGTCTAGATGTTGACTGTCCTGCTAGAGTAGTGACTGGTGTTCGTGCCACCGCCGCGGCCGCCGCCGCACGAAGAGACGCATGCAAAACCGAAATCCCAGCCGCTCCTTGTGCGGTTAGACGCCTAATACCTCGTGCTTCGCACGTGAACCCCTGGCTGAATTTGTTGGGGCAGACAGTCTCTAGTTTTTTTATTGCGGTGTGTGGGGTGGTTCAGAAGTGTGAATGTTGCTCTGACGTTGAGACGGCGTGCGCTGCCTCAAAATAGTCCACCCTGAGAAATATGGCTGGCGAGCTTGACCGTGCCTTGAGGGAGATGGACTCTAGTTGGAAGCTGCGGAGGCTGGGTGGAATGAGTGAACTCAGCGTGCTTGGGAGCAACTATTCAGCCGAGACATGGAATGGGAGAACTTAAGGCTACTTTTGGCTGGAATTCATCTGCCGAGACGTGTGGCGGGTTGGCCCGGTGGGATGTTAGTGATGGTAATCTCGGCACTACCGTGACGGCTAGGTTGAGGGTTTTCTCTCTCTCTCCCTCCCTCTCTCCCTCTCTTTCTCCTCTCTCCCTATGTCGATCCACACTGGAAAAGTGGCACGCAGTTGTCTGCATGGTAAAAAAAGCTTGCTAGTAGTAGCAGAGAGAGGTTGTTCGTGACCCTATAGTTGTGGCACGAGCTGCTATGCCGTTCTCGCGATGAAGAATGTTGGCTGCTCACACGGTCACATAACAGCAATGGCTGAGTGGTTGAGTGGTTCAGTCGTTAACCTCGCTAAACCTTGTGACGTCTGAGCGTCTCGGCGCAGTCACACACGCGCGATTTTCTCACAACACGCCGAAGCACTGTCGCGAGCGGTGTCTCCGCAAACTCGAGGTCACGGTCGACGAGGGAAAGGACCGGCTCCTTCTCGCGATAAAAATCAAGGCAAAGGCACCGCAGAAGGCAGAGAATACAACTCCTACCTGCTGTGTGGCCTTCCTCCTGTAAGACCCCGGCTGGTACGTCCAGAATGGTACCGAAAGGTGTAAGGACCTACGTCCAGGATAAATGATGGGATGACAAAAAGAAAACACCAAAAACACCACAAGCGCAGCTCTTCCAAAGGTGTTACATGACCGATACAGTGGGAAGAATCTCCGAGGAACGATATACAAAAGTGGGCACCATTGGCAATTCAGACACAGACCGACAAGAGAGACGGACAGCTACACGGCATAGAGCGATAGAGATGTTGATGGGCGCATTCAATATGCGCGCTGTCGGCTACAACGAAATCCTGTCTACAGCAATAGTGCTACATGAGAAGGACAACAACGACCGTAGTGTCTGCCTTTGAAGGATCGTCGAACGTACAAACTCCTTTTTCGCGAGGTGCTCCCTTCCTTCCGCGAAAAATGAGCGCCTCTCTGCCCCCGTTAGCGCTGGCTATGGACAAGGCATGCGAGGGTAATATTCCGCCCCGCTATCGGCACCATTCGGCAGTCACTCGTGTTTCCGGCATCATGACGAAAAATTATAATAATGTAGTAGCATACTAGGTCTATGTGCTGCCCCCCCCCAACCCACGACATGTGCACGTACGAGTGCCAACATACTGCTGTTCCATGTGTTTCGGATTCCGCGTGGCATGGTACACACCTGCCTCTCTCTGCCTCACATGACGGGATTTCAAACGTATGGGATACAGCTCAAACAGTCGATGGTACACTTCCTTGCCACCAGGCGCGACCCGCGCCGACGAAAATGTTAATAAAGACAACTTATACGGTAGTCTCCGCACCGGAAGTAAATATATCGGATGCCGAAAAAAGGGGAACATGTACAAAAGAATTGCTAAGTATCCTGTAAAATTCACCCGCTCCGCCGTGGGCAACCCCCTCCCCCCCCCCGCGCCCGCGCGAAATAAAGCCCAAGAAATAATCACCATTATTTCACTCGTTGTAACAGGCTTCCGGTTCGGGGTCTCCAGACCGACGGCCACTCGGCCGCCCACCTCGCCCCGACCTCGTTTTCTTCACAGGATACCTCACTTCGCCTGCAGCGTCTGCTGCTGATAATGCTGTCCCGCCTGCGACCTTTCTTGGCGCATCGTCGGGCGACGGATCTGCACGTGGGAGCACAGCTGGATCCCCGCCACCCGTCCCTCCCACGACCTTTGTTGACACATCATCGTCGGGCGAAGAATTTGCTGCGAGGAGCGCAGCTGGGTCCCCACCACCACCACCACCACCCGCCTTTTCATCTCCTTGGCTGCTGCTGCTGCTGCTGCTGCTGCTGCTGCTGCTGCTGCTGCTGCTGTTGCTGCCCCCCACCGCACCAGAGCCGCGGTCACTACTACTTCGCTTCACAGCGTGCGTAGCAGTCACGTCATCGCGACCGTCCTTCCCCACGCTACCAACTGCCACAGCTGTCGCCGCCGAGACCAAGGCCGATGCTGTTCTAGCAGCAGCGGCTCCGCACTCCGACCTACCCCGACCGCCATTTTGGTCGCCGTCTTGGGACACGGCAGAAGATCCCAATGCTGCCGGCGAAACACCGCTGGCCCTGGGGCTGCTGCGTGCGCCATCGGGGCTGGTGTCGAGGCTCCGCCGTCTACCGCCGAAAGGGTTCGGAGTTCCCGGAGAGTTCCGGCCCGAAGACAATCGTCGGGTCGGCGGGGGGGTGGTTATCCGAGGCGCAGCAGAAGAGGAGGCGGGCGGCTCCAGGCCAGCCGTCTCCACCCGCAGCTTGGGTGACAGCCCGGAATGTAGCGACACGGGTCGTCTCGGGGGCGTGCCTCCGTCTCCCACCGCGGAGCCATCCCCCAGCTTGGCTGCTACCTGCTTGGCCAGCTCCGGCAATACATCGCCACCACCACTACCACCACCACCACCACCGCCTACACCACCGCCCCCACCGGCTCCCCCGGCCGGCTGCGTGCCCATGGCGAAGCCGGGCGTACGCAGCGATGGCGCCGAGCGCGTCGACTGGTCCGAGTTCGGCCGCGAGTAGTCCGAGATGGAGGCGCGGCGGATCCTGGCGATGGCGGCCGTGCGACTCAGGTTGTCGATGTCGCTCACCACGCTGTCCGCGTCGCTCGCGGCCGAACCCCTGGGCGCGAGCACCCGCTCCCCGCGCCGCCTGGCAACGAACGGGTCCGAGAGGAGCTCCTTCGCCGTGGCCCGTTTGCTGGGGTTCCTCTCGAAGCACCGCAGCAGGAACTTGGTGAGCGGCTGCGACAGAGAGTCCGGTAGCGGCGGCGGCCCCTCCGTCCGCTTCACCCAGTTGATCAGGGCCACCGGCGTCCGGAGGTTGAGCGTGTGCCATGGCGGCTGGCCCGTCGCCATCTCGAGAACAGCTCCACCAAGCGACCAAATGTCCTGACATAGCCAAGCCGCGCACGCGTACCCAGGCGGGGCAGACGCAAAGTGCACGGTGAGGAGGATAAAGGGAAACAGAGCCAACTGGAGGAGCGGGGTTGTCGTGGGATTTTCAAGGTACACAGACCCCAAACTTCGCTCAGCTTGATGCTGTTATATCTCTGCGCCTGGGGAGTCTGGTGGTGAGCTCGCTGTCTTCGTCTCGGGAAGAAAATTAGCGTCGATGTGTGCGAAAGGGTAGGTCGAATTCGCCTCTGTGAAGCACGGGTTGGACTGGCTGCATCTTTAAACATAACGCGGTGCAAAGACCGACGGTTGGCCACTTCGAAACATTTCACAACGGCGAACGTTCTCATCGAACCAGGTTCGACCGTTGTTGCTGGGATCACGGGGTCTTAGTTGAAGCCGAAATCAAACCGTTAGGCTGCTTTCTACGCGCACGTTCGAGACTCGGTCGAGTATCCCGGTCGACGGGGACCTGGAGCGCCTGGTCTGTGTTTGCGGTTCGTGCTACATGGAGTAAATCAATCCACGGCTCTTGCTCCATTTTTCTAACAGAAGTCGCCAGTTTATGCCCTTCACATGGCAATCATTCCTTCCTAGTCGTACACCCTCTTTGGTATGGTCACGAATCGCGGCTTTTCTCCTTTCCCACCCTGATTCCAAGCGACGTTATTCGTATGGAACTCCTTGCAATGGTGACGATGCTTCTACCACCACATTGGCCCTCTCCCCCACTCACCACTTGCGGCCCATATTCCTCCCGTAGCAATATTTCTGGAGCCATGAAAAGTGGGCTGCCCACTCGAGTGTGTTCGCCCAAGCCCGTGAAGCTGTCCGCATCAAGAAGCTGCAAATGGACAGGGCACGAGCAAACAACGTCGGTGATGCGTCAAACTGGAAACCGTCAAACTTTCGGCAGGAATCGCGCCGCATCGTCAGTTTGCAGACGTCACCGCCGCCTCGCAGGGACTGCTCGAGGAATTAGAACCCGGATGACTGCTGTTCTCCCCAGCCTACGCCGGCAGTGCATCTGATTTGAGAAAATGATGCCGGAGTGTTGCTTGGAAGCATGGGTCGTTGCAATTTTGTCCTTAGGTGGGCCAAGCATCGCGGACATCGGCCCCTGTTCCAAGATCTGGTCACTGCCTACTTGTTTTTGGCATCATCCGTTCCCTCGTTAAAGTACGACCAAAACAGCTGCTCGTGTCCATTGTCGCCATATAGAAGCCGGCGTGAAGCATGTTGCAAATCGATGTTTGGCGCTTCTTCACAAGTTCGTCTCAAAAGTCAGTCTTTTAAACCAGGTTTTGTCTCTTGCACTCTCACGAAAAAATACACTGAAACGTGTAGTACTTACTCTACAGACGTCTATGTAAGCATTGCCCTGTCTTGAATACAGAGAGAGAGGAAACACAACCACATAATGCTGTGGAATGCTCGTTGTTGTCACCTTAGAAGCTCCGAAATCGCACAATTTTACAACCCCGCGATCATCGATCAAAATGTTGCCCCCCTTGATGTCACGATGGATAACCCGTTCGCTGTGCAGGTACACGAGACCCTGCAAGATCTGCTTCGTGTAGTCAGCTATCCTTCGATCGGAAAATGGCCCGAAGTTCACCAGCAAGGTTGTAACAGAACCCGGAACCCATTCTTGAAAGATCGAGATCGTTTTCTCCTTGTCGTTCACCTGATTCGAACCCATTTCGTAGATTCGAGTGGATCGGCGACATGGGGAAAAGTGCGGGTGTGAAAGGGAAACAGGTATATGGAATACCAGTTCTAGTACCAGATACAACTACAACTTATTAGGACAATGATGTCAGCAGCATTGTTTCACTGCTGTATACAGCCATGATACAATGGTGACAGCAGTTGCTGTTTCTTATTGTTGGTCTCTCCAAAAAATGGTAGTATACCGGTGCAAGATACGGCAGTCGGGATCCATCTCGGTTACATTTTAGGCGGGAACAAGATTATTATCTGTGCTAAACAGAGTCAAACATTCAAATTCTTTCGTAGTGATACTATCGATGATACAGTCGAACACGTGGCCACGCCCCAGTCAATCCACTAGGCCTACTGTACATACAGTCAATACACTAGTCTCATCCATTGTGTGCACATGCACGACAAACTGGAGAAATAACGACGATGCTGCTGTGTATGTTTCTTGGATGTGTGTGCAAGACTCGGCCATTTCATATGATTCCTGCACAGCTGTATTCTAGGTGCACAAGCAAGGTTGTACGTATTTCACATACTACTCTCATCACCTCTGCGCCAAGGTAGCAAACGATGTTCGGGTGCGTCAGCTGTCTCATGAGCTCTATCTCCGTGTACAGCTCTTCCGCCTGGTCAGCGTTCTTGAGCGACAGCAATTTGACAGCAATCAAATCCCCGCTGTCTTCGTTCAGCCCGATGTGCACCGAACCGAAGGATCCCTTCCCGATCTCGTGTCCCAGTTTCCAGTGTCCAGTCCGCACAGGCGCCCGTCGAGGCGTTGCTCTTTCCCCCGCTCGGCTGGACGGCGATCCGAGCCCCAATCCAGCCAGCAGGTTAGGTCCCCTTCTTGGTGTGGCTCTGGGTGTGGTGATTCCAACGCGCATGGTGAGCCTAGGTGGGGTAGCGGCAGCAGCAGCAGCAGCAGCAGCAGCAGCATCAGCAGCAGCCCGTGGCGTTTCTGACTCTTGTTCAACAAAGCTGCTTTCGTCGTCTGCTGTCGGGACGATGGTCGCTTGACCCTTCGACGGCATGCTCCGCGTGCGTCTCAAGCGGCTGAAGAAGGTGGCCAGCTTTCCCGAGACACTTTCCGTCATGGACTCGCCACCCATCCCTTCCCCTTCTTCTTCTTCCCCCGCTCCTCTCCTAGGCTCTACCTGCAGAGGTCGTGGCGGACGGGCCCTGCTGCTACCCGCCTTTTGTGTCGATGTTGCCGTTGCTGATTTCTCGGCCGCCTCGTTTTCTGCTCGACGACAATGCCCGTCGGGCTCCGACAAAGCGAGGAGATACCACGACAAGGCGTGCAGCGCCCCTCTCGTGTACTCGGAGGTGCAGAGGCGCGCGAGCTCCTCATCGACCGGGTGCTCTACCGGATCTCGAACGTGCGCGTAGATAGCGGCCGTCGACTTGTCGATCAGATCGGGAGAGAGCTGCAGGTTGCGCAGCACGTGCCGGAGGGCGGCGTCGCCATCGCCCGCGGGAACAACCACCGTATGCATACCTCCTGACGCCCCGCCTTGCCCCTTTGCTCCCATCTCGGCTGCTGCTGGGGAGCTGCTGCCGTTGCTGCTGCTGCTTCTTCTCACAGAGGCTGTGGCCCCCATCGTGGGAGGGGGAGCGCATCGAAGCCTCACTTAATTTTGTTTCAAAAAAATAACAAATGTTGTGCGTGGGACCCCGTGATCCCAGCAACAACGGTCGAACCCGGTCGATGCGAACGAACAACGAACGTTCGCCGTTTCGATCTGGTCAACCGTCGGTCTTTTCGCCGCGTTTTGAAGATGCAGCCAGTCAACCCGTGCTCTCACAGAGGCGAATTCAACCTACCCTTCGTACACATCGACGCTAATTTCTTCCCGAGAATAGGTCAGCTCAGCGCCAGGCTCTCCAGGCTCAGAGAACTACCGCGACTCACTCGGTATTCCCCCGCGCCTCTCCCTGCCCTCCCCTTCGGTTCTCCTTGTGACACGCCGTGTGACGCAAAAGACTCGCGAGCACAGCGCAGCAAACAGAACCAAGTCCCAGCGGGGATTTTGTCTCTCGAGCGAGGTGCGTCACGCCCACGGCCGGCCACGCGTGCGTACGGCGCGTGGGGAACAGAGGGGCGTTATTTTTGTCGAAGGTGTCGCGCTCTTGTCTAGGGGTGGGTCAGGTGTGAGCGTCGTTGAGGCAGAACGCCCAGTGGGCCCGTCGTGATGTCGGAAAGTGGTGAATATTCCTCCCACGAGAAATGGGCTTGTTGAACCTGACCTTGCTCGCTCTTTCGTCTCTTTCCAAACGCCAGCCACCACGCACAACCTCCGCGCTAGCTTCACGAGCTCCATCTACCATCGAGGGCGGAGAAGATGTTGTCAATGTCACCTTCGAAACGCCGGGACACCGATATGATGAAGCTGTGAGTGCAGAGACCAGGGAGCGATTAGAAGCGAGCAACAGCAGTAAGAGAGCATTTTTTTTTTGCCGAACGAACACATCAACGCACTTCTGTCTTGTCTGCTCCCCCGAAGGAAAGCAGCATCTACATACAGCGTGGAAATGCACGCGACCCGCGCCTCAAGGGCAGCGTGCCGGGTAGCCCACATCGTCCTAGTGTGTGCGCATCCCTCGCGCTTCTATCTTGTGACGCATCACCTCTTCTCGCACGCTTTATCCGCTGGGTGTTTGTCGCGTGTTTTTTTTGTGATGTCCACCGAGCGCACACGTACCCAACCAACTCGATGATGATGATGCCCTTAGGTTGCTGCTGCGGATGATGATGATTTTTTCCTCCTCCCTGCCCCCACTCTCTCTTGTGTTCCACCCCCGCTCTTCCACCCGGGAAGAATGATGAGCGACTTCGAGGTGCACATTCCGGACGAGTCTAGCATGCACGACTTCTTGGTGGCCTTCCCAGGCCCTGAGGACAGTGAGTTCAGCGACCAGACAAGAGACGCAACAACAACAACACGGCAGCAGTTTTTTTTTCCGACTTTTCAGAGGGTTCTCTCTTCCTCCAGATTTGAACGTTGCTCCTTTTTTTTTTCAACCGCGATTACTTGTTTGTGGGCGCTTGCGCGCTTTTGCCACATGGCCTCTTTCGTCCGCAGTGTTTTTTTCACGAACCAACCAGACGTGTGTGCGCCTGAACAACTGTGCTTCGCGGGGGAACCGTCTCTCAAGAGCTAGCTCGGTGTACAGCAGTAGTGCAACAGCCTTTCGTTGCCTGTTCGAAGACCTCCCAGTCTTTCCGTCGCAATGTACAGCGCGGTCTCCAATTGTATGAGTTTGTATGAAGCAAGCAAGCAAGCAAGCAGACAGGTTTGCATCATCATTCGTCCTTGGTCGGTTGGCTCATTTTCCCTCAGCGGGTGTGGATGCAGGCGAACGCGGCTTGGCTCTCCCCCGCTGGTGACCCGACAACAAATAAACAGGCACACTTATTTATTAATATGCTTGCGTGCACGTGTGTGTGTGGACGCCTCTATCTCTACATCCCTTTCTTCATCCCCTCGTTGATTGTTTCGCCTTTTGGATTTAATTTCGATTACTTGGATCTAGACTAATTCGTCATTTGTATGCTTGTTTCCTTATGGCCCGTTGCATACTTGCTCTATGTGCGTTGTGTCACGTGAACTGCTGTAACAAAAAAATACCAGCCCCATACCAGGGGGGGGTCTGGAAGGTACACGTTACGCTGCCCAAGGAATACCCTTTCAAGTCGCCCTCGATCGGATTCGAGAACCGCATGTTCCACCCCAACGTTGATGAGATGTCCGGCTCCGTGTGCCTGGACGTCATCAACCAGACCTGGAGCCCAATGTTCGGTGAGCAGATTGTAGGCTGGCAAAAACTGGAGGGGTTCCTTTTGACAAACACGTTGCGATCTGTGATACGCATGCCGTACATATTTTGCGTTGGGTGCTTTTGGTTGTGGTACTGCTGTATATTGTGAGGGTTCTAACTTTGTCATGATCAATATGTTTTGTTCCGACGGCGGCCACGCAAGCGCTTTTGCTCCTGCTGGAACGACCGCTGTCATTGTCTAGCAGCACAGCAGTCTAATGTCCCGAGGTCGCTTCCGTTACCGAACCTTTTCTTTACAAGGATTTCACACGGCGCATGTATTGAGTCCGGTCTGACGTTAGTTAATACACATGTGCGTAGGTCTGGTTGAAATATGCAAGTCGTCAACAATATACCTGTACATTGTCAGTAACTGATGCGGATAATAAAAGGAGCGCTTACAACGGAAGCGTGTTTTATGCGTATATGCGTATGATATGCGTACATTTGAGGAAAGCAAGCGTTGATATCTTCTTCTATTGTACTAAAGTTTAAACACAAGAATCTACCAGTACCTTAAACAAAGGCGTGGACCGCCGTCGGGTATTTTGGGGTACATTCATTATGGGCCTACGTGGTGAAGGATGGAAAGAGAGCGTCGACTGCTGTTGTCCAACCAACCGGCTCGCGCTTTCATCGTTCCGCTGCAAATGTTTGTTGCCATTCCACGATGACGCCGATAGACACGAAGTCGTATGTGTACTCTGTACACCGGTCGCGCCGGTAGTCTACAATAAATAGTTGGTTTCTAGCCTTCTATTATAGACTAGTGGTCAGGGTCAGGTTTTCGAATCCCGGCGTAGGCGAGCTTTTCTTGCGAAAAGTGAGTTTTTCTCTCGCTTCCGTTGCTGGCGTGCGTGGGTGGCAAGCGCTAATGTAGTTCGTGTGTACCCAGAGGGAAGAGAGTGCTGAACTCTTCTCGCATTCAAAACCGAAGGCAAAGTACCGCAGGAGGGGAGGGTGGAGGACCTCAGGGAGATAAACCTTCTGTGTGACCACGGGTTGGAGTAAACGGCACTAGTGCTCACTGTGAGTGCTTGATTTGAAGTGAAGACAAAAAAAAAAAGACTGGTGTAGGAAACAAGCAGGGCAGAGATACGGATGCTGGCTAGCTCTGCGCAGGCCCATGAAGACACCAATGTGTGACGGAATGGTACGAGGCGGTGGTATGGGTGTGTGTGTGTCTTTTTTATTGGCATCGATCGCGCTAACCGGCTGACCAATGAAAAGACCCCGGTCTCCGTGCGGTGGAAAACATAAAATGCTTCTATAGGCCACGATGTGTGTGTCTGTGTTTTTTTGTTAAGTCCCATCTTTTCTGGCGCCAGTCTACACCTTGTAACATATATATGAGCAATTGACGTACCAGCTGGGGTCACACACCTGCGGTGCTGGCCTTTGATTATTTTAACGCTAGAAGGGTTCGGCAGCCTCTTCTGTCCTACCGCTGCTGTGTTTACTCACGAACAAACCGCCTTCCACCACAGAATTGCAAAGTTTCCACTTCTTAGAGATTTGGAACCCACAACCTTAGCAAGTCAAACGGGGTTATACCCTCTAGACCGACGTGCGATCAGTACGGCACGCGTGAAACATGTTTTTTTGGCCTCAGAACAGCAGTCGCCGTGACCGTTCTTTCTCACCCCCTTATCCGCCCCTCTCTCTTGCTCTTGATCCATACCTAGACCTGGTGAACATCTTCAAGCTGTTCATCCCGCAGCTACTGAGCTACCCGAACCCCACGGACCCGTTGAACGGGGAAGCGGCGGCGCTCTTGATGCGCGACCCCAAGGCCTACGACAACCGCATCCGCGAGTGCGTTCGCCTCCACGCGTCCGACCCCGTACACCTCGACGGAACCCCCGTTGTCGTCGCACCCCCCACCCCCCCCCCCTCTGCCGCCGCCGCCGCCGCGAGCGGCGGCGGCGCGGCGGCGGCGGCGGCGGCGGCCAGCCCGAGCACTAGCGTCGGCACCAGCGCCAGCAGCGATGTGTCGGACATGTCTTCGTCGGACGAGAAGCCGCCGCCTGCTTCCGACAACGCGAACGGGGACAGCAGCAACGCTGTCGTCCTCGGCAAGGAAGACGAAGCGACGATGGGCGAGGCCGGCGGCAACGGGGAGGCGACCAAGCGACGAGATTCGGCGCCCGGCGGCGGCGGCAACAACAACGGCGGCGCGAACAGCAGCAGGAGTTCGAGCGGCTCGGACTTCATGATGGAGGTGAGACACGACACCGCCCGACCACAATTTTTTTGCGCGATGTTATTGTTGGCAAATGTTTTCTGCCCTTTTTTTCATTGATGAAACAGGACGCCTGCTACATCCCGTCCCACCTTCGGTTCGCCAGGGCGGGGGCTTGTTATTGTGAAAAACGGTCGCCGTTCTCCTTTCGTCGATGTCAACCCACAGATGGAGATGGACGAAACCTCGAGCGACGTCAGCGCGCTCAGCGATATCGGAGCATGATCCGCGGCGCGCCCCATCTTTTGCCTTTTTGCAAGGGCTGTGGAAGAGAGGAAACAACGATAGCACCACCACCACCACCACCAGCAATAACAACAACGCCTGTTTTTCGCCAGACGCTTGTGGAACGTTCCGGTTTCTTTTGCTGTGTCTTCTACCCCGCAAAAGCGACTGCTGTGGTTGTTGTTGTGCATGTGTTCCACCTCTCTCAAGAGATACCACAAAGAAGGATGGGCGGGCCGAAGCACCGACGATTTGCCTTTTTTAGTCGGTCGAACCGCCTGGCTTCGTTTATGGGTGTGGCCAGTTGAGCACGTGTTCTTTTGTACATAACGTTTTTTTGTATCCCTTCTTTTTTCAGCGGTATGCCCCCATGTATGGGTTAAGGTTTGGTTTTGGTTTTGGTTGGTTCGGGGCAAGAGCCTCGTGTTGGTCCACGGTTTGGCGCAGGCTTTTGGTTACGCGTTTGTCCTGGAGGTTTGGGGGGTGGGGGGGGGGGGGGTCAATATATGTTCCCGGAGAGTATCGTCACGAGTATGTTAGGCTTCAAGAGGAAAAAGAAGACATGGCACTAGCAATCAATTCTTCGGGGACCCCTTCTTGGATTTTATGTAGGAACCCGCTCTCAGCGGGCGGGTTTCGTGGCTTGGCTTGGCGTTTTACGAACGGGGGTCGGTCCTCTTCCAGCTTGCGAGGTCTCTCAACGACCAGCCGTTACGTCGTGCATATTACTAGGTGTCTCCCGGTGCACGCTGGGTGCTTACCAAGCAGGCGGGCGAGCGAGCGCTCAACACGGGACGGGGGCGGGGGGGGGGGAGGGGGGGGGATACAGGGGATGATGCTTGGGGGAGAGATTGAGGGTTGTTGGGGCTGGCTGTTCCGTCTCTTTGAAAGGTGGGCGCGACAGCCCTCTTGCCCTCCTTGGTTGTTGTATACTTGGTATGTATCTGCTGGCCCCGCGCGTGGTTTGCACGGTTATCCGGCTTGACAACCGCGCGACCTCGTGCGTGTATATAAACAAATGCTTTCGCCATATCCGCGGGTTGAGGCTGCGGTTGGTTGTGTCGAGGTTGCCTTTTATTTCTTGTTTCTGGTTGTGGGGGGGGTGCGGGATTTTTCTTTTGGTTTTCCACTATACCCTCAGAACGCGCCGCCGTCTCTAAATATCGTTGGTGTGGTGTGCGCAGTTTTTGGGTTTGTTGTTCCTAGATACCTCCTTTGTTTTGTTCTCGCCTATCGGGGCGACATAGTTGTTCTGGATCCCCGCAGTTGCGCGTCACATGTACAATAAGACGCTATTATCTGTTGGGGGGGAGCGGCGGCATCTGCTTGTTGTTCCCCCTCTTCTGTATGCTCTGTTCTGTTCTGTTTTACCCATGGCGTGCCACACGAACGTCCTATCTATGCATAGGTAGGTGTGAAACGGAACGTAGAGAAGAGAACATAACAGAGGTAGAAAAAGACAGGTGTTTGGACGGGACATATCGGGGGCTGCTGGGCCGTATCGTATTGATGTGTAGGTAGTCCTTTCGTCTTTCTTTTCCGAGGGGGGGTTATGGTAGTTGTGGGTCTACTACAACAGTAGGTCTGAAGTGGTCGTATTATTTTGCCGTGAGATTCTCTCTGCTATTTTTCCGTGTGGGTGGGAGTGTGTGATGTACGTAAGGTCTATCTGATTACGTAGTACGAAAAAACCAATAACGACCCAGGATGGACGGCCGTCTGCTTTTGTTTGTGGAAGATCAACGATTCACACACGACGCTCACACAAGAGGTGGTTGATTCCGGGTTACAACCGAACCAACCGCGAGCAGGTTTGTTTTCACGAGCGAGCCTCAATAAGGCGACAGGTCAAGTCCGTCCCGAAGGCTGTTTCTCACGGCGCTTGTCGCTTGCGTCACCCAACGACTGATGATGACATGTATGTAGTAGTAGTCATGTATGATGTGCGAATCGGCACCCATCCATATACTAATTACGAAAATTCAAGCGAAACAAAGAGTGAGTGTTGTTAAGGAGTGTGGCTGCTAGCTTAAATAGGGTACATCTTATTGTTGATAGGATGTGGGTCGGTCCCAGGAGGTATACCCTTCAGACACCTACCCTCTTAGGATTTGTCTAGTCTGCGTACCCCCCTGAGGTGAAGTTGGATCCCCACTTCACCTCAGACCCTTGCTGATCGTCTCTCAGCAATAACAAGCAACTTTCTCATCTCTACGTGATCGTGGACAAGCGTGTCAACGACAGAACCTACCTTCATCTATCTCTAGGAGCAAGCTACCGCCCACGGCTTCCCCTCCTTTAAACTTGGCGCCAGCGGCAGGATTCGGGTCCTCCTTAACAGTGTTGTGTGTGCATCATCTTATTATCTGGCTGGCTGGGTTTATACGGAACGGGCAGTCGTTCTTTGATGTCATGTGCGGTTGGTTTCACACGGACTACGACACACCGTTCATTGATTGGCGTTGCTACAATCAATAATTAATGTATATGTTGAAGTGCGTCAATTGGGTGTGGCCATTGATCTCCACGCCACAACGTAGTAGAGGGAAGGGCAGGTTATTTTCTCGAATGATTTATTTGTGGAAAATAGGCCAAAAAATGGAGGGTACTATGCTCACTCACCCGTTAGCAGAGTATGCATGCGTGCACAACAAAGATACAACAAGTACGTACATCAACAGCAACCAGCATCATCACTTTTTTTTTCATGCACGCTTGTCTCCAGAGGGCTATCATCACGCACTTTGCGGCGAACAAGGCCGCAACAGGCTGGCCCTAACTAAAAGCAAAACATTTGTGTTAAGGAGGACCCGATTCGCAGGGTATCCGTCGATTGACTTTTACCAAAATCGGTACACCTTCGCATATGGCGTCAGCTGGATACTGGTTCGAATCTCCTTGGGTGCACGTTTTTTCTCCTGACTTGGACATTTTCCCATGGACACCATGTGTGTCAGTCCTGAGAACACCTCTTCTTGGAATCGATCCTATAAAGAACCTTGTGACACTTCCATCGAATTACCCGTCCTGGCCACAAGAGGTTCCCAGTTGAGGGTAAATTCTGTGGGTGGAGAGTGTTAAGGAGGACCCGATTCGCAGGGTATCCGTCGATTGACTTTTACCAGAATCGGTACACCTTCGCATTTGTCTGAAATATATCTAGAAAAAGTGTGTATATGCATATATTACATTGTATAAATATGGAGAATACCTACACCGAATGAAGTTGCATTTTTTCTTTTTTTTTCTTTTTTCCAACCTAGGTACCTTTTACTGTCCACATTTTTTGTGGGACACCCCCCCCGGGACACCTTTTTTTGTCCACTTTTTTTGTGGGACGCAGCCAGCCGTATTTTGTCGCCCCCCCCAACGGCGTAAACCTGGCGTTGTGCTACACTTGCTCGGGAGGCAACGAGGGGTGGCACTGAAGAACGAGAGGCAAGCTGCGAAATGTCGCGGTTGAGCTCGAGAATGAAGGAAGAGACAGGGGCGAGAAAGAGCGAGCCCCAGCCGTTGAGGTTCGAACAGGTACGCATACACCGCCGCCGCCGTGTTTTATCCCACACATACAAACACGCTGTCAGTCTTGTTCGAACGAATTTGGTGTAGGGAGAGAATGTCCGCGTTTTAATCGTGGGTCTCAGCTATGATCTACTGCTGTAGGCGCGGAGAGAGAGATCGGGGGGGAGGGGGGGCAAACAGACGCTTCATGTCCCACGCACTTTGCGCATCACGGAGACATGATCCCCAGCAGCCAGTTCCTTTTTCTCACACTCTTTGTATTGTCCCGAAAGACTTCGTTAGGTGCCTGAGTACGTACACATCTGGCACACAGCCAGCAGTGGCATCAGATGCGAAGGCCGTCTCTTACCAATCGCGAAGTACCCAGACGGAGTGATAAGTTGTTGCGAGCACCAGCTGCTGCAGCGGTGAGCACTCGAACACCGGCAACATATATCTACCCATCTCTCGACCCACCTGCGTCAAAAAGTATGTTTATTGCGAGTAGCTGTGTGTGCACGAAGTTTCGCAATGTCAATCTCTCGAATGGGTAGTCTTTCTGTGTGTGTTTATATTATTCCTTAATCGTCCATGACCAGCAGCACCCGCCAGAAGAGCTAAAGCGAGGAGAGGGAGATCGCACCAACACGCACGCACGCATCACGGGCACACACGCGAATTTTATGTATCGAGCTACTGCAGCACAGCAGTAGTACCACACCCAGGGATCCATTGCATGCTTTTATATCACCTGCACGCCCGTTCTTTCGCCAGAACACTTCAAGTAACGTGATGATGATGCTCTGTGGCATCTCCACGTTGTTTTTTTTTCGCTCTCTTGACTCCATCTAATCGCTATCTGTAGTAGGTGGTTCTTTGGAGTGAACACCCCACCCAAAGGAATCGCCATCAATCATCTATCATCCCGACGCGTCGGAATATTGACAATCCGCATGGCAGAATATCTGCACGTCGATTTATTTGCTGCCCCGGTGACGGCACCTCTGCTCTGGTGTCTCCTTTCCTTCATTGATTCATTGAGTGAGGTGCAACATTTTGAAAGCGTTTGGCCCGCAGATGAATGAGTTTCACCGTGTATTGGCGGGCTTCGCCCGCGTAATAATTAAACTCCTAAAACCTCTGTCTCGGTACATTCAAAATTTGCCCGGTTCTTCACCAAGTTGGAAACAAACAGCAGGTACATGAGAGGAACCCAAAATAAGCCCAGTTTACAGCCGGTTTCCCTCCACTCACGGCTGTTGTAAAGACTTCAGCGTATCGCTTTCGACTGGGGTTATATCTAGAACGGGTACATAGTCTCTCTGTGAGATTATGTTTACTTTCTAAAAAGACAGCAGATAGATTAGTTTTTTTTTTTTATCGTCACTTCAAGTCAGCGCTCACAGCACTAGTGCCGTTTACTCCAACCCGTGGTCACACAGTTAGACCCCCTCTCTACCCTCCCCTCCCGCGGTACGTTGCCTTCGATTTTAATGCGACAAGAGTTCAGCACTCTCTTCGCTCTGTGTACACACGAACTACATAGCGCTATCCACTAGGTAGGCCAGAATCGGAAGCGAGAGAAAACTCACTTTGCAAGAAAAGCTCGCGTACGCCGGGATTCGAACCCCTTACCTGACCTCTAGAGGGTTTCGAGGATACCGACTAGACCACCGGGGCGACCGGCCTACCCGCAGCGGAATCGTTTGATCCGAAACCACACGAACCCAGTCAGTGCTGCTCTCTACAGTAGATACATACTCCACGTACGTGTGAAAATACAGGAGCAGATGCGATGGCTGTACACCGTTTGTGTGGAGATGTCTCTTGGATGTCTCAACAAAGCCACGATTCGACACAGCAGCAGTAGACTACTGCTCGTAAGTATAACCCGCCCCACGAGACTGTTTGTGTTGCACACATCTGCATACATATATAATAAGGAATAATAAAAACACACACAGAAAGACTACCCATTCGAGATATACCCACAGTCGAACGGTGTACGTTGTCTATGTACGTACGTACATAGAATGAAGATGCAAATGTAGGTGCACTCGATTGCTCCGAGTAACGGTGAAAAAAAAGTTGAAGTAATAGTCTAAATGCCCATGACACCGACCAGCAAAGGCCACACACAAGCAGGCCTTGGGTGCGCGAGAGTCCTCTACAAGTGAGCGGTAACGGGTGTACACGCCGCGCGTCATGATGTTATCATGATGTTACCTTTCCAATCGGACCAGCCGGTCGAAGCGTGTACAAGGCTTGATTGAGCCTCTTCGTATGATTTATTGGTCGATGTTGCCTACCAACGCCTGCTGCCGTCGAGCAGCACACGCACGCGTGCTGCCTTTCGAAAACTTGGTAGTACATTTTAGGCAATGTATGCATAGTTCCAGATAGTGTTGTTATATGCCACTCTTTGAGATTCGGCGGTGGGAAGGATTTATCGGGACGCCTTATGGGTGCACGGGAGATCGCAATGTCTCCTCTTCAAAATCCAGGAAACGCCTGCATATCTCAGTTTTCCAAAAGTCTAACTCCAGTACGAAACTTCCGTCACAAATTAACCGTCCGCAGCGGTCGCCTGTGTACAATGTTAGTGTCTGAGATTGTAGCCCTTGCGATACACTGCAGATTAGCGGTCCGCGATGTTCCAAACGGTCCTTCTATCATCGAGATCGGTGAGCTACAAGCAGGATTTTTTTTACGCTGCGCTGCGGTCCGATTTTGAAACGCTTCAAGCACACAGCAACGGCGAATCTGCACCTCTGTGAGTGTGTGGGGCCGCGAACTGCAGCGCAGCTCTTCCCTCGCAGGTCCTACTCGTCGCCATAGTCGATTTGAATGCCTGGGGTCATGTATTGGTAGACCTAGCCACAAGCAAAGGTGCTTGGACGTTTCAATATCGGACCGCACAGCAGCTAAAATTCCTGGTTGTAGCTCACCGATCTCGATGATAGAAAGATCGTTTGGAAAATCGCGGACCGCTAGTCTGCAGTGTATCACAAGGGCTACAACCTCAGACACTAACATTGTACACAGGCGACAGCTGCGGACGGTTAATGTGCGACCGTAGTTTCGTACTGGAGCTGGGTTTTTGGAAAACTGGGATATGCAGGCGTTTCCTGGTTTCTGAAGAGGAGACACTGCGATCTCCCGTGCGCCCTTAAGAACCCCACCACGACCGTACGAGAGATTTTTTTCGAAAGGGTGACTTGCTGCCTGAAACAATATCGCTGTTTGCGCGACCCCTGGTCTACCGCGCGCCGTGACATCGTCCTACAGCAGCAATAGAATACGCCGCCTCACCGTCGCGGGCCGTGCCTACCGGTTCGGTTCGCCTTGACCTCCGTTGCAGATAATCGAGCTGCTGGAGTCGACCGCGGCGGACTCGCCTCTCATCTCGCCGGCGGCTCTCCTGTGCCGGGTGGAGGGCCTGCTGCTGCGAGGGACTGGGGCGACAAGAGCGGACGCCTTGCTCGTGGACCGCTGGTTCAACAAGCTCTTGCACTTCTCGCCAGCCACTGCTTCTGGGAGCGGTGGCGGCGATGGGGAGGCGAAAGGGGCTCGAGAGACGCCGAGCCGAGATCGCCGTTCGTTTTCTGATGGCGACGGCGGTAGTCAGAGCCGAGAACAGCTTCAACAGCAACAGCAGCAACAACAGCATGAGGTTGCGTTTAATACGAGGGCGGTGTGTGATATCGGCGAGGGAATCGCAGGCATGGCGGCGATGACCGGACGGAAGTTGCGACTCAAGGATTGCTCCACGCGGCAACAACGGCGGCGAGGAAAGGCCTTGTACGGCACCGAGTACACCAGCGGCAGCGTGGTGTGCTGGCCGGTCTCAGCGCTCCCTACAGAAGTGGGAGTTACGCGAGCGGAAGCAGAAACCTCCGCGTTCGAGCAGTTGGAGGACGTGGACGGAGATGACGAAACGGAGGAGGCGAGGCCATCGCCGGGCCCCGCGGAGAGGGTGCTAGCGGTGTTGCAGGTCCACTGCGCGGACGGCGTGCTCTCGGCAGCGGCGGTGGAAGCCCTGCACGGCCTAGGGAGACTGCTGGTGCCGCTGCTCACGGAGGCTCTGGCTCGTGACGAGGAGTACATGCGCCGCCGCTCCACCGAGGCGCTGCTGTCGCTGAGCATCATCAGTCCGCGAGACGTGGGCCTGATCGCGATGGTCGAGGAGGTTGTCGATGCGGCGCAGGTAATGACGGAAGCGGAGAGGGTTTGCCTCTTCTTCGTGGACGACGCGGAGCACAAGCTGTGGGTGGCCACGTCGGTTGGGTTCGAGGACCCCAAGATCAAGATCGGGGAAGGCTTGTGCGGGCACGCGGCGGCGACCGGAGGGACCGTGAACGTGATCGACAGCTACGAGGACCCCCGCTTCGTCGGGCGGTGGGACAAGCAGACCGGCTTTGTCACCAAGGGGTGCGTTGTGTTTTCTTTATACCGTGTTTTGAGGCCTTGGTGTGAACATCGGCCACGCCAACCGGCTCTGACCAATCAAGGCGTTGGGCGGGATAAGAACGAACTTTTCCCCGGAATCAGTCGTGGTCTCCTGACAATGAGCGCGGGCGAGAGCGGGACGAAGCGTTCAGCCTTGGGGTTCAGAGTTGATCGAAAAATTACGAGGGATGTTGTGAACGTCACCTCAGACTGTCTCGTAGATTGTGACGTCAGATGACCTGTCGGAAATCCTCCTTCGGCGTGTTGCCACAGATACAGAGTCAGTGGACACGGTGAAGCCGCCGTGACCCTGGAGACCTACGTCTCATAATATGCAAACAATTTTTGCCTCGTGTATCTACCTTTCCTCCGGTGGTGGTGATGCGGTGCGAGATCTTGATCTCCTTGCAGCCAGTCGACAACCCCCCGTCGGTGCAGGTTCACTGGCTTCGTTCGAACCGGCTGGTTGAAAGCACAATGTCGTACTATGGCGGGTTATACTCGTCCGTGTACGTGAGATAAACACGTTCACTTCTTCGTTGGGTCGTCTTCTTCATGCTGCTTGCGCCCTCCCCCGCGAGCAGCGTTTTGACGACTTAGAAGATCCTTCAGGTGTCGACGGCCTTCGCTCATGTTTGTGCGGCCCATGCCGCTGTTGCTTGCGATGATGCCCGCAGTGTTCGGCGGTCTTGTCATCATGTCGAATGGTGGCGACAATAACAGACACCGATCGATCTGTGACGCACACGCATGAGCTCCTCCGTTACCGTTTAATTTTTTCAGTGTTTTCCAGCCCGAACATTTGACGGGGGGTGGGTATTAGCGCGCGAAGCCGTTTTACGAGGGGGAGCAAGCAGTCGAGATATCTCGCGTTCACACGCACACGCCCGCATCGACCCTACCCGCTCTCTTCTCTTGGCGAAACTCACCGCCTTCCGCCCGTGCTTGTTTCGTCTTCGTCCCCTCTCAGGGTATTGTGCGTGCCTATCCCACCTCCAGCCTACGCCGCCGCCTCGGTCGCTTCGCGGGCAGCAGCAGGCGGCAACGGCGGCGGCCGCAGGTGGGCGGGCCAGCAAGACATGAACGGACAAGACAGCAGCCGTAGCAGTGGCAACGCCCGCACAACTACGCCGTCGCTAAACGACGACGATGCTGAAGCCCGAGCGACGGCGTCGGTCGTCGACGACGTCCGTTTGCGGCATCGGCAGCAGCATCAGCAGCAGCAGCAGCAGCAACAGCCGGAGCGGGATCCATTGCCGTCGTTTCCGACGTCGTCGCGGCGTGGGTCGGCGGCGGCGGCGGCTGGAAGGGCGGCGGCGAGACCCCTGGCCGTGCTGCAGCTGAGCAACAAGCGAGGCAGGGGCGTCTTCAACGAGCACGACGAGAACGCGCTGGTGAGCCTCTGCGGCCGCATAGAGCTGCTACTCCGAGACAAGGCGGCGGAGACCGCCCTCCTCTTGTTGGGTATGACCGAGCGCTCCCTGGTCCGCGAGAGCAACAGCCGCGGCGGCGCCGGCGGCGCCTGGTCCAACTACGCCCGCGTCCAGAGCACCATCATGCAGCTCTACAGCGGAGCGACGTTCCCGACCGACGCGGTCGCGACGAGGCGAGGCAGCGTCGCCCGCCGCTACCGCCGCTCCGCGAGCGACAGCCTTGTCGGCGTCGACACCGATATCGGGCAGACCGGCGTGGAGCGCGACGGCACCGGCGGCGGCCGTGACCGGCGGAAAACCCTCGCCGTCTCCGCGGAAAATGGCGTTGCCAGCGGCGGCGGCGGCGCGGGGGAGGGTTCTTCGAGCTCCGGCAGCGGCGGCATCGGCGGCCGCGGCGGCGGCGACTCTGGCCGAGTGCTCAGGGAGGAAGACCTTGCTGCTGCTGCTGCTGCTGCTGCTGCTGCTGCTGCTGCGCCGGAGGAAACCACGCGCGCGGATTCGGAGCTGGTGGACCTGAGCATGAACTTGTTTGACCTGAGCTCGCAGCAACTCCTGTCCTTGGTGGGGCGGTTCTTCCGAAATACGGAGCTGACAGACAGGTTTCAGGTGTGTGTTTCCGGCGTCATGGGGCTAGCCTTGTCTTTTTTGGCGTGATCCACTTCGTCCGTTCGATCGTGACAGAGCCGATCTTCTCCCGGTGGTCCAGTCGGCATCTTGGCAGCCTTTTTTGTCTGTGAGATCTAACATCGTATCACAGTCAGACTACGAACTGGGATAGTGGTTATTCTTGAGTCGTACGCACACAAATGGAGGGCGAGTGTTTTTGGTGGGCACACACGTTATTCGGCGTCTCGGCCGACCAGGGAAATGAAAATACTGAGTCCTCCTCGCCATGAGATCAAGGCAAGTACGCGACGAGGGCGGCCGTAGAGAGACTGCAAATCCAATCCTCTGCGTGACCCCGCCGCTTTGAAGACACGCACGGAAAGGCGTACAGTAGGACTCACGTCTACACGCGCCGTCCGCCGCCAACTACCTTAGCCTTGATCATGAAGGGGAGCTAAGACCTTCGTGCACGTCTGTCTACTCGTGTGCACAAAAACATGGCGCGTATCACCCCTCCCTTGAGATAGGGCATGCGCCGCACAGACGACTGCAGCCAGTGGGGGTCACGTGTTTTCGGCTCTGCATACGAACGAGCCCACGCGAATTGCCTCAGATCTCGCGACAACAGCGGTGGCGTAAGACTGCTGTGCGCACTCTGCAGCAAACACCACCCCGGGTTATTATTTGTTCAACGCCAAGGTGTTGTTGGTCGCTGGGGTGTGTTATCTTGCGTTGACGTATACGGCAAGCACCACGGCGCGGCTCCTCGCCGTCTTGCTCACCCTCTCTCTCTCCGCGAAAGCATACATCCTTCTTTGGGCTTGAAAGAGAACGGGGTAAGAAGGTCAGTGAAACCACATGCACTCGTGGCCCATCAGACACTTGAACGTTCTTCCGGGAAGCACGTCCCGCGTGCACCCACGTCCTCTCTCTCCCCCGCGGGCTGCTGACCCTGCCGCGCCGCGCCGCCCGTGCGAAACTCGCAGATTCCGGACAAGAAGATGTGGAGCTTCTTGCGCGCGGTCGAGCGGCGGTATCCGCCCAACGCCTTCCACAACCTGACCCACGCCGTCAGCGTCACCCACGCGTCCTTCACGATCGTGAAGACATCCCGGGCCGACTCGTTGCTCCGTCCGCTCGATAAGCTGGGCCTCCTCGTCGCCGCGTTCTGCCACGACATCGACCACCCAGGGTAAGCTTGGGGCCCAACGAAAGTAAACGGACGCGTGTGTCGCGTATGTTGCAAAAACGTTGTCACATACAGCAGCTGGGTGCCCTCCGTAGCGCGGGTATGTGCCAAGTTCTTTTACGCACACTAGCGCGCACCCTCACTAGTTAGCGTAGGAACCATCTCGATTGAATGCGTCTGTGCCAGCCAATTTCACCCGCACGATACCGGGCACAAAGCGCTGAATTACACGCAATATAAGAGGGCCCCCGACTGTACCGGGTACTTTTGCCCTATTCCTCCCCGGTATTTGTTTTGGTATTTTCACCCTATAACGCAACCAAGCCCAATTATCAGTGCCCGTACAGCCAGACCTTTGTTTGGTGCGTTATAAACACATCCCCCCGTGCCTCGTGAGCCTGCGTATGCCTCTTGGTGCTTGTCGATGGCCCCCCGAACCCGCCCCCCGCTCTCTTACCCCACACCACGGTGTATGGCGGCACGTGCAGGAACAACAACGCCTACGAGGTGAACTCCGTTTCGCCGCTGGCGCTACAGTACGGCGACAGCTCGGTGTTAGAGCGTCACCACGTCTTCGTCACGTACCAGGTACGACCGTCGTTCGTTGTCGTGGCGGAGCATTACGGCTGCAACGCTTGGGGAACGGCGAGTGGACGGCGTAGCCGTTCTGTGACTGATGAAAGGGACTTTGATTTGGTGCCTCTCGGTTTTGTGCACATGTTGGAATACAAATGTAGACTGCTCGGTGTTGCATGGTTGAGTGCGTCGAGTGATGTGTACAAGAAAGCGCGGCGTGCTGCGTCCCGACTGACAACCCGAAACATTTTTACAAAAACCGCAGGTGCTGCTCGAGGAAGGCGGGGCGAACAACATCTTCTCGGGGCTGACGCGCATCCAGTTCCGAGACGTCCGCCAGACCATCGTGCAGGCCATCCTCGGCACGGACATGTCCGGCCACATGCAGCACTGCGCGGACGTCTTCCAGTTCGCGCTCAAGGCGAAGAGGCTGGCGGCGGGCGGCGGAGAGAGGCAAGACGGGCTGCTGAGGGTCCCGCAGAAAAATTTCCAAGCCGGAGGTGGAGGAGGAAGAGGAGGAGGGGGCGTCGGCGCAGACCGCGCGGCGAAGAGCCACACCCGCCCGAAAGCGACGGCCGCCCGTGAAACGTCAGGGTTTGCCGAGGGTATGGAAGGGGCACGCGGCGAGGGTGTGGTGTTGTTGGCGCTGGCGCGGGCGCCCCCGTCGGTGTTGCCGTCGCCGCCGCCGGAGCATATACTTAGCGTGGACAAGGCCGAGGACCGATCGTTCCTCACCAAGACCATCCTTCACTGGTGCGTGTTTTTGGTTTTGAGGCTCCAGTTACTGTAAAGTGTAGAGCGACGAGATTTCAATGATTCTTACCTTGGCATGTTGCGTGCGATTGCCCCCCGGTTTTGTCTCCTGGTCCTCTCACCACCTAGCTACCACGACGCATGTCTACCTGCTACAAATTGCCGTGGGCGACATGCTAGGTCTCTCGGACGGGCTTTTTCCGCCCATCAGCATGATACCCCCCCCCGGTTCCGATGCAGGCAATAAATCGGGCATGCGCTTGCACTTACGTTACATTTGTTGGCATTGCATTGCTGTGACAAAATTTAGCGCGTTATGGGGTCTAAAGCCTGAACGGACAAAACTGCATTTTAAGCTGCAGGCCGGAGAAGGCGTAGTTCTGCTATGTTTTTCTTGCCGTTAAAAGCAAGAACATCAAGAAGAGCCCCCCCCACCCCGGGGGGTCCTTTGAATGCCCACCGCTGCTGATGCAGGATTAAGCGCACCCTCCATGCGACTCTCCGAATACCTCACACCGCTTCGCGCTTGGTGATGTGCTAGTTTAGACTGGTGAACACCCGGCGTGCTCTGTCCCGGCTTCGTAGGGATGCGAGGTCAATGGTCTACCGACTACGGCATGCACGACTATGAGTACCCCCCCCGCATGCGCGGTTTTGAGTACACCTCCCTCCGCTGCTGATGTTTTACGGTGGAATCCTCGGTGTTCGCCCTCCGGCCTGTCTGCCTGCCTGTCTGCCTGCCTGTCTGCCGGCCTGTCTGTCTGCCGGCCTGCCTCTGCCCGCAGCGCCGACCTTTCAGGTCAGGTGCTGGACAACCACCTGGCCTTGGAGTGGGGAAGGAGGATCCTGGACGAGTTCCGATTGCAGGCCAGGCTCGAGGCTAACACGGGCTTGCCCCGAACAACGGTGGCCAGCGGAGACCTGGAGACCACGATAAAGGGGCAACACTTCTTTGCAGAAAAGGTAGGCTGTCCCGGGGTTTCGTTTTGTGCTCACCACACGAACGAACGAGCGGGGTCGGGGCGGGCGAAGAACGTCACGCATTGATGTCTTGATCGCTCACCCGAGGCTGCGTCGGATGTAAAGGAACGCTTGTTCTCCCTTGTCTGTTCTGGTTGATGCAATGGTTGCGAAATTCTTTACGTTACGCTCTGCTTGGGCAATCTCCCTTGTCTGTTCTTGTTGATGCAATGGTTGCGAAATTCTTTACGTTCCGCTCTGCTTGGGCAATAGTAGTTGTGGCACTTTTGTTTGTTACGCTCCGCTCGGGACAGCGTTCTGCTGCCTCACATGCCACCTACCCACACCAACCTGCATGGAACAGCTTGGTGTTTCTTTCACCAGTCGGTCGAGTGTTCTCTAGCGGTGTGTAAGCTTGCGCTCGACGACCAACGCATGGCTAGCGATTTTGTCCACAGGGACTTGTAGCGAGCATCTGCCGGGCAGAGAGGGGTAGCCACACCCAATCAACCATGTCATGGGTCAGTGTGCTCCACCTGTCCTTGTGCATTTTCCCGGTCCTCTGGTTGCTTTGACGGTTCCACGGCCAACAAAGGGTCGTGAGGAGCGTAACCTTGGTCACATCCGGCGGTCTGCGGCGATGAAAAACACCCAGCCTGTCACCTTTGATCCATCAGAAACCTCCCTCTGCCACGCGCTTGTGGTTCCCCCCCGCCATGCTCCGACCTGTCGAGAGGACGCATGGTCAATGGCCAAACAGCAAAGGCATTCATGTGCGCCCCCTCTCCTTCGCCTGCATATACCTACATACCCGTAACCCGTACCGCAGATCGTGAAGCCTCTGTGGGAGCCTTTCGTCGCGCTGTTTCCCAAGCTCAAGCCCCTCCTCAAGAGCCTCAACAGGAACTGCGAGTACTACCGTCAGGAGGGGCTGCGGCTTGAGCGGCAACGACTCTCGGCCGCCTCCGACTCCCGACGCCCGCAACAGAAAGGGCAGGAAGGAGGAGGAGGAGGAGGAGGCAGTACAAGCGGCGACAAGAACGGCGGTCGCGGCGACAACGGCGACGGCGGCGACGGCGGCGGCGGCACCGGCGACGGCGGCGACGGCGGCGGCGGCACCGGCGACGGCGCGGGCGTAGGCAAGGAAGCCGTCGCAAAGGCCGGCGGACGAGAGCGACAGGCCAACTGCAACGACGGTGGCGGTGGTTGATCATCGACATGTACAGTCAGCCCGCTCGCTCGCCGAGAAACACCCGCGGGGAAGATCAGGTGCGCGACGAGCGGCTGCAGTCTTGGGAGCGGCGAGTGGGGGGACGAGGGGATCGGGACTACCGGGTGTTTCAGAGGAGGAGTAGGAGGAGGAGGCATGTTTAGACTGGTGTAATAGCGGAGAGTTCGATGGTCTTGGCCGCTTACCGCCGTGTAGAGAAGTGGTGCCCTGTTTGAACAGTCCGCCCTGGTTTATTGGAGAACGACCGCGGGTTTCCACCTGTATCGAGACGATGGCTGTAAGCATGCGGGGCGACCCGAGGCTGTTCCGTTACCTGTACAAGAAACATATGTAAACCCAAGTGGTGGAATCTAAATGTTGTTAAAAGCTAAACGTTGCTCTCAAGCCGAAGTGGTGGGACGTAAATGCTGTTGAAAGCTAAACGTTGCTCTCGGAGAAACACCCGAGAAGGATTTATGTTTTGTGCAGAAAAACAGGTTGTCACAGGAATGGCTCGTCGCTAGGGTAAACAGCGCAGAATCGAACCTTACAACATACTCCACACTTTCGGCGTGACTTGCACATGCCCGCTTGCGAAGGCATGCGCGCGAAGTGTTTAGCATGTGTTAGCACGTACGTCTTGCATACAGTGAACAAGGCAAGTCTTGTAGATACCAAGAAGGGCGTTCTGCCCGCAGCAAAGTACAACAGCTGTGTTTACGAAGTCGATGTGTTGATGAGGTATCGTTAAACAGAACAATAGAGCTTATTTACGCTGAGGCGGTGTACGCGCCGCCTGCCTTGGAAGTCAAAGGCTCAGCTAGCGTTTTCGTATTTTTGCGTCACGAGATTCATGTTCTCTTTCTTTCATTCTCTCGGGAAGAAATTATCGTATCGTCGCGTGCCGTCGTCATAAAAGAAAAACAATCGCGTTGCGTGTCGTGGTCGCAGCAGGCGGTCCCGCCCCGCTGGAATGTCATCTTGCATGAAGCTGTCTTGTACATGGAAAATGTTCTGGTGTACGGCATTGGTTCGATTAGACTGTTGTAGATGACAGAATATTAAATCAATACGTATGGCGAGCTTCATTTAAGGTAGCCTAGAGGATGGGTTTGGTGGTTGTGGTTGTTGTGGTGGTTAACTACGCGGGAGTAGCACAGGGGTGTAGACTAGTCGTTTTGGCGAGACGCAACGGGCAAGGGTTGTTTCGCGCATTGCATGAAGCAATCAGACTTTTGTAAGAAAGGGGAAATGATACGACTCCGCTTTGGGTAAACATGTAGTATGTCAGTCGTCGTTACTACCTCGTCAGGAATGGGACGAGACGTTTTTTAGGTGGGATCGTCTACAGCAGCTTCCTCTGTCAGCCCTATAATAAGTCTGTAGCTTTATGTTTGTACAAGGACGTAACCGTGTCTGATGCCTCTCCGTGGCTGCAGCAGAGGCTGTGAATGTGGCCGCCACTGCTGGTGGTCATGGATCGCTGTTTCAGGAGTGGGGATGCTATGTACAAACAAGCATCTGCTGTAAAAAAAGTGTCAATGATCAGCCTTTAATTAGACTAATAATGTAGACCCCGCCGGCTGGTGGTGCGTCCAGAATACAAATAGATGGACGAAAACCAAACACGCTTCGACGAGGATGTGCTTTTGAGGCGAGTTGAGAGAACGTCGTTGTGGGAGCACAGCCCCGACTACCATCTCCAAGCTCCTCGCCGTTTCTCGCGATGGAAACCGGCGACAAGGAAGGACAAGTGCTGTGATATCCGAAAGGCTAGAATACCGCTGGGCACAAAAATTTCTGCTACTTCGTTTTTAGTCTGGATCCTCCTTGGATCCACCACCAAAGTGAAAATTCACAGCCCCAAATGTCTCGGAGATATGTTGTGACGTGTGAGGTGTCAGACAACCAGTCATCGGAGATCTGCAGTACAATGTCGAATGTTGAACGTTCGGGGTGTTGCATTGATCGACAGAGGAGCAGCAGTGGAGCCACGCATTCGACGCTGAACAACCCGCAAACACAAGAAGCAGTACGAACACAACAACACAACCCGTGCCGGAAACCGCATGCTACACGGAGGTTTTAGAGATTTGGCTGTGAGATGCATATGTAGACAATCTATTCTCTCTTCGTTCGTGCACACCACGTTCTTTCGGGAAAAATGACAGTCCGTTTCGCCGCCTCCCCAGCATAGTTGAACAAGAGTGGTTTTGGTTTCACACAAAGTTCAAGCACGCACAGCAGAGGTTCTTCCTCCCTTTTAGCTGAGCCCCACTTTTTCCCGAGCAGGTTCGAGAGTTGGCAGATGTACAACAATACAGCAGGCAGATCTGTGCATACAACAACACCTGTTTGTAGATCGAAATGCTACTGATCGTGGTGGATCCGATATCCGATGACGATGATGATGATGATGCGGAAGAACAAAAAGTACGCCGAGATGATGCGGAGAACCGGTGGAACAAGTGCCCCAATTTCACCCATGGGGGGGGGGGGGTCAACATCATCTTCGCCCAGACCACCGCCCCCCTCTCTCCGCACGTCATACTACCCTGAACACGGCAGCACCAGACCACCTGCTTGTTGTAGAGGCCTTCAGCACGATGAGGTGAGACTCGCACCCCTCTAATAAATAATTGGTGCGTTAATTGAGTTATCGCTCTCCATGCCTTGCTCTTTCTTGGCGCCGGGTGTGTGTTGTGTACAGAGCAGCATTGTGTTCGGAAACGCGACACCTCTTCTTTTCTTCGCAGATATATATATGTAGATCCTCGGATCCTCGCGGGCTATGTCCTTCTTCAAATGTTGAGCCTGTGCTGCCTGCTGCTGTATATACTCTCCCCGGTCGCGTGTACGCGTTTGAGATTCCCCGCTACTCCCGAGGGATCTCCCACGCGATCTGATGGCGCCCCATCTATGCCAGTCCCTTCCGCGTGGTGGCCGCTTTCGCGTGCAGTGGGTGTGGGCATCACACCGACAAAACAACAAACTCGATGTCCCTCCCTCCTCCTTGTCGATCCAACATGATGATTTGTTCAAGACAACACCGACCGCGCCGACCCCCGTAAGTAGTTGTTGCCGGCACCCCACCACGCGGGATCCGTGCGCTGCGCGGATCTGGTGTGCTCTGTGTCTCGTACGTGTGTGATTACGCATTTTTTTCTTGGTGGGCATGGTTGATTGTCCTTGAAACCGGTGGAGATAAAGAACAGGGCCAACGATTGGTACGTACACACATGACATGGAGGTTTTCCTTGTCCGTCCCAACGAGAACGCGTCCCGCCTTCTCACAGACAACGAGGGACGATCACTACAGATGATGCGTATTGCATACCATGGGAACGGCGGGGCTACTTTTTTGTACTCTGATGCGGTCAACAGGAATGTTGTAGATGCAACCAACAGGCATGTGTGCTGGATACAATACGGCGGCGGTGAAACGCACTGATTAGCAGTTTTTTGTCCGACAAACAGCCGTCCGTTCGTTGGTACTCAAGAGGCAACGTCTTGGGTGTAGCATTAAGTATGAAGAAGTAGGCATTCAAGCAAGTACTTCATTAAGCACCCGGAGAGAGAGTCTACCCGGCTTTTTGTCGTTGTTGATGCGTGTATAAATTATGCTGCTGTGCATGTATGTGTGGTATGCATATAAAGATTATCACACATATATTATTTTGTATCATGCTTGAGTTATATTTCTGCATGTACATGTATGTGTACACAGATATGTGCGTCCCTACTACTGGGAAGATACCTATATCCTGGTTTCCACACTGGTGTTTTTTGTCCGGCTCTACTGACTGTGGAGATCGTCCTTAGGTTCCCAACAGGGGGGGGACGTGCTGTGTAAAGTATGCACGTACTATAGATGGATACAGCCTGCCGTTTGGCGCCCGTAGATCAAGAAACGTCAAGTTCGGGCCCGAGGGTGAGAGTTTATTTCATCGCCGCGTCGAGCACAGGCTAATATTATTTTCTACAGAGAGCTAGCCTTCAGTAATGCAAGGCTAATCACAGGCTTGATTAATAGTATCGGCACAGGGTGTCGGATCCACCGCTGATGAGCTGTGTTTCTTATGGTTTAATTTACAGTAAACTCTTCTCGTTTTTCGCGATCTGAGCCTGTTCTGAATTACTTTTTTTGGGTATTATGGTTGCGGGCGCATTCCTGCACACGCAACTCCATTACTGTAAGACCAGTGCAATACGTGAACACTTGAACGGAAACAGTCCTCTCATCGAAACACGGGACCGCGATCACCTCCCCCCGCCCCCATCCCTTAACTAATGCATTTTCAGTGCTGTTCTTCTGGAGACGGCCTACCTGTAAAAACGGTCACATCTCCCCCGTGTCTGTGGAGGACGATTGATTCCCTCCTTTCACACTACCGTCCAAATGCAGGACATGGTCTTACCACCACCACCCCCCTCAATTCTCGCAAACCAGCACCTCGCGTCAAATTGACGCTTTTCAAGAGCGTACCGCCGCTAGAGTACGCCGGAGAAGTATGGGAAGGAAATAAGAAGGTAGTGAAAGAACTCGAGGCGGCGCAGATGAAAGCAGCCAAAAATCATCCTAGGATGCTCCAAGCAAGCGCACAAGTAATGCAACCATCAGGGCAGAATTGGGGATCCAATCCCTACGGTCGGGAAGAGATGTAAGGAAGCTGACATGGCAGTATCGCATGTGCGGGATGGGAGAGGAGATGTTGCCGAGAATAGTATGGGAGGCGAAGTGGGCAAACAAAAAGAGGGGTAGACAACCCACGGAATGGGTCAAGGTTGAAGAGGACATATGGAAGGGGTTCGAAATCGACGAAGATGAAACGCTGGAAACGGAGGGTCTACAGCGGTTCAAGGAGAAGATATCTGTTGCTTGTGCCCGAGAGAGAAGAACATAATCTAAGGAAACAAACCGAGGATAAGGAGGGTCTACGGAATGTTGAAAGAAGGAATAGGGTTCAAGGATTACCTACATGGACCAATGGATGCAGGGACAACGCTTAAGGTCAAATTCAGGACCGGGGACATAGGCCTTCCAGAACGTTAACGAAGACATAGGACGGTAGACGACGAAGACAAGTTCAAATGTGATTGCGGCTTCGAGTGCGAAGACAGTGTTCATGTAGTCGCGGAATGTCAGTTGTACGAAAAGGATAGGGAAGTGTACATGACTGAGCTGGGAAAATACAAGGGAAATACAGGGAGATGTTTGAGGCATGGAATAGAGAGGAGAAGACGGTAGCTGTACTGGGGAATAGGAAGTGGTTTGAAAAGGCGGGGAGTGATATCGTTAGGATAGACAGACTAGGGAAGACATTTTTGAGCCACCTTTGGCAAAGTAGGAAGGAACGATTGGCCATCGGTGATCGGTCCTGTGGGAATAATGCTCCGTCCTCTCGAGGACGATTGATTCCCTCTTTTCACATTCCCGTCCAAATGCAGGACATGGTCTTAGCCCTCCCCCCCCCCCCCCCTCATTCCGAACCTCCCCCAAACCATCGTCTCGCCGGCGGCGGGCGCTACGCTACAGGAGATCCTTCAACAACGGGAGGTGGACGAAAGAGGAGCACGATGCCTTCCTGCAGGGCTTGGTTCTTCACGGCAAGAACTGGGACCTCATCGCCCCCATCGTGAAGACGAGAAGCGCAGTTCAGGTCAGGACGCACGGCCAGAAGTACTTCAAGAAGGTCGACAATGGGGAGAGGTTTCCCGAAGAGGTACGTGCGTGCTCTCGCTCGCATACATACCCCGGAGGTCTTGCCGTCGCGGATGTGTGTTCGTTTTTGTTCTTAGCATCAACGGACTAGCCAATGAAAATACGTCAAGAGTCAGGGTGCGGTTGAAAAAATAAAATGCTTCTAAAGGCCATGATCTGGGACCCCGTGAGGGGGTGTCATGGGGGAGGCTAAGCTAATACTTGAAGTGTGTGTATGCATACGTACGTATGCCCACGTTTTTACACCCGCACACACACCACGTGATTCACCGGCCCGAGATACGACGAGGGCGTGGACCAGGGCGGTATACAGCAGGAGGTGCCGAACCCGACGTTTGGGTGTTGTTGGTCGGATTACCTCCCGCGCCGGCTGAGAGCTTGTGCGGAATAACGTTGCGTGGTACCCTTTTCCGGCTTTTGGGGTACCCCTTCGGGCGGTGGGGCACATGATTGTGGCCTGCCGGTACAAGGAGAGAGTGTATGGAGGGGTGCGCGCGCGCGCGCGGGGGGGGGGGGTCGGTTGCACTTACGCACTTTTTCTGAGGGGAATTTCACGAATCCTTGTCTTCACGTTGAACTTACCCACCTCCGCCGCCACTCTTTTTGTTTTCGCGTTAACTTTACTTTTAACCCCTTTTTAATCCCCTTTCAACCTGCTGCCCGATTCTGCTACTGATTATAACCACGGCGCCAAAACGAGCAGCCGTACGAAAGCATGTTCATCAAGGCGCGCCACCAGACTCTCTCGTCGGCTTCGGCCGCGACCATGCCCCCACCGTATGTTGCGTCGGAGGGAAGGCGGCAGCGGCAGCAGCAGCAGCAGCAGCAGCAGCAGCAGCGACAGCAGCAGCAGGACGAGGAAGGCGCGATTTTTTTCGCGCTAGGAGAAACGCGGCAGGAGGAGCGGCAGCAAGGCGCAGCAGGCCTTCAGACGGCCGCAGCGGCGGGGACGGGACTTAGGATGGCGCGACCGACGTCGTCGTTGTCATCTTCGGGCACCGGCCGCGGGGCGTACGCGTGTGGCCCCGGCGGCGCCGGCGGCGGCAGCGGCAGCGGCAGCGGCAGCTCGGCTACCCTGTCTCCCTCGCTGACATCCTCGTCCTATACACCTCCGGGCGACTCGAGCACTGCGGAGATCAACCCTCGGTACGTTCCTTCTTCCCCCCCCCCCTCCCCCCTCATTTTTTATTTAGTGTCCGATTGTGTGTGTGTCCGATTGTGTGTTTTCTGCGTGCTCTGTTCGTCCTGTACATGTTCGGGCGACTCGGGCAATGCGGAGATCAACCCTATAAGTGAGTTCCTTCTTTTTTTCTTGTTTTTCGTGTCCGGGTGTGTCCCGGTGTGTACGGCGGTCCTCCCTGGTTGCGTGTGCTCCTCGGAAAAAAAATCATCATCGTGGGTGCAGGTAAGGTAACATTCCACTAGATACCACACCCCCAGGACCAATTTTCAAAGCTCGACTACTCCACAAAGAAGGAGGGTGCCAAAGCCGATTTGATGAAGAAGCGTTTTCGGAAGTATCTCCATGAGACGGTTCCAACGCAGACGTTTTCGGCACTGCCACTCTTTCTGGTGAGGAGTGATCGAGCTTTGGGAATCGGTCCAGGGGGTGTGATATCTTGCGTCACCTGCGGTAGCTGTCAACGAAGAAGTCGTTTGTTGTTGTCGAACTGAGTGAATCGTCTACGGAGCTGGTGAGGATCACGTTTTGATCATAAAAAAAACGAAAATATAAAGTCGCTTGTGCCACCACCACGATCAGTGACCAAGACAAAACAGAGAAGATTTACGACGAGGTTCTTGACGCCAACGGGATCTTCCCGCCAATTCACTGCTGCTTAAGAATACCGCGGCCTTGGAGCGCTCTGCTGTAGCGTGCTTATTATGCGCGGGAGCGACAACGTCTACCACGCGGCTTGCCCGATCCGTTCCCACTCGCCACTCACCCGGCCCTCGTGCCAAGCTCGCCTTCCCGTTGACCGCCTTGACCCCCCCCCCCACCCCGCTCTGCTCCCGTCTCGACAGCGCCGGTTACTTCGTCACCTACCCGGACGGGTCTGCGCCTAATAGCCACGGGGCCATAGGCACTTTCGACTCCTCCTCTCCGTCTCTCTGTGCTCCCTGGGCCGACCACGGAGGCTTCTTCCCCGCCCACGGGTTTCCAGGGCCCGAGGAGGCGGGAGGGAGCGGAGCCGGTGTGTCGGGTGGATTCGGCGGCGGCGGTGGCGGCGGGGGCGGTGGCGGCGGCGATGGCGGCCAGAACTGGGCCAGTACCGTTCGTGGCTCCGAGTGCACTGACGGCAGCTGTCAGTCTCACACCTCTTGGTGTTCGTCCCCGCAGTCGCCGTTGTCCTCCCCGTACATAATGTCTTCCTCCTCGCTTGGTTCCGTGGGGCCGCCTCCGGCCGCTGCCGCCCCCGCCGCCGCCACCGGCGGCGGCGGGCTGAACCCACTCGGTGGCGGCAAGTGCGGCTACGGCAGTACGCAGCAACTGCAGCAGCTCCTGCTGCAGCAGCAGCAGCAGCAGCGGCAGCAGCAGCAGCAGCAGCAGCGGCAGCAGCAGCAGCAGCAGCAGCGGCAGCAGCAGCAGCAGCAGCAAGAAGACCACATGCCGGACTTCTCCGAGGGCGTGTGGTACCACCAGCAACAAGGGCCGCAGACTCTTCCGCAGGAGGGTTTCGGGCATGTCGACGACTGGTTGAACTCACCGTATCTGCTCGGGGAAGACGAGATAGGCGGCCGTCATGACCCCGACGGGGCGGTAGAATGTGCCGCCCGAAACTCCGCGACGGACGTCGATAATTTAGGGATTCTGTAGTGCACGCACACCACGTACGAAGGAGGGGTGCGGGGCCCCTACGCACGCTCTCTCCCTTGTGGTATTTGTTGTGCCTTTGCGGGCTTCCCCACGCTTGTTTGGAAACTACTCACCGGCTCGTCTTGGTCCGCTCAGAGCTACAATTTTTTCGCGCGACGTATTGTATTGCCTTGCCAAGAGCTATTCTGAGGGTTGGGGAGGAGATTTCGGTTGGTGTCATTATTAGAGAAAAAAAGGGCCAGCTCCACAGTATTTTAAGTACATTTTTGACTTGTCTTCAGAGAAAGGCTAGGGGTTGAGGCAATGATCACGTTTCGCGGTGTTGCTGTATCATTTGTTTCCTCCCCCGACGTATAAGCTTGACCAGGAAATCGTAGTGTCAGGGTGCTAGCTTCATTTGCTTGGCTGTCTGTCTGTGTTTGCTGAGATCAAGCGTTGGTCGCCGTGCTGCATGCGGCAGTTACCCGCGGATCGATGTTGACGCAGGCAGAGCCGAGGCTTCGGCCGCCCCCCCCCCCCCCCCCCCCTATTAACCATTTATTTTA